TATATATATATATATATATATATATATATATATATATATATATATATATATATATATATATATATACACAGAGAGAAAGAGCGAGAGAGAGAGCTAGCCTCTATTATATATATGTGATGACCCTTTGCTTTAAAATAAATAAATGATTAGTCTTGGGTACAATTTGTGCAGTTTTGTAAAGAAATTAGCTAGTAAGTTTTAATTAGCATCTTGCAGAACCAGCCACAGTTCTTCTTTTGGCTGTCGCACTTGCTTTTTTTTTTTGCATTCAAAACCCAGCAGCCTTCATTATGTTTTTGCCTGAAAAGTGCTTTCATTACAGGCATACAAGCATTTTTCTGTAACATTAAATTACTAATGCTTGGAAATCTAAAATGCTAAAGGCTCAATAATGTAGAAGTCATAAAATAAAAAAAAAAAAACAAAGTTAGTACTAAAAAAAAAATTAGGGTGTCTAAGACCTTTACACAGTATTGTATGTAAGAAATACACATAAAAAAAAACTATTTGTCACAACCAAAAATGTTCCCAGGAAATCTGTCACTTTCTTGTAAATCTTGAGTAGTGTATATTCATAATAAACAAATACTATTTTTATGTTAGCATCAAAGAATATGTACAGAATATGCTCCTTCACCTAAGACAAAACTATTCACAAAAGGCTTGACTAAACAAATATGTTTTCAGCCTAGACTTAAACACTGAGACTGTGTCTGAGCCCCGAACCCTAAATGGAAGGCTGGTCCATAACTGTGGGGCTTTGTAAGAGAAAGCTCTAACCCCTGCCGCAGCCTTCACTATTTGAGGAACCAACAAATAGCCTGCACCTTTTGATCTAAGTAGGCGTGGCAGATCATAAAAGATCAGGTACTGTGGCGCGAGATCATTCAGTGCTTTACAAGTCAATAGTAGTATTTTATAATCAATACGATTGGGAGCCAGTGCAGTGTGGATAAGGTAGGGGTCATGTGGTCATATCTTCTGGTTCTAGTAAAGACTCTCGCTGCTGCATTCTGGACTAACTGGAGCTTGTTTATGCATCTACTGGAAAATCCAACCTAGAGGTAACA